GTGTTGTCAGCTGGCAGTTCTTGAAATATTGTTGGCAAAGGAACTTCCCTGCTCTGACGCAAATGTTATGCTTTGGGCAATTTTTAGCTCAGCTTGCATAAACTGCCAATGACCTTGCTCCAACTTGGACTTGGCAAGTGCTTTCGCTGAACTACAGCTGGCAATTTGAACCAGTCTGTTTGTATCTATAAAGTGTACCTCTTGTTTGTTTAAGCTGGCACCACCTATCTTTTTCAACGTGGACTGGGTGGGGGAAGAGATTGATCTACTCAGAATATACTTCACACTGGTCTGGGCAGAGAAACATAACTGCATACAGATGTACACATTTCCAGCTAGTTTTAAGCAAAATGTGTAAACTATGTCTTGAAAAAAATCTCAACTCTTCCAGATTCAGTGAATACTCCTGCCACTGTAAATCCACATTAACAGTGGCATATCAGGGCATCCAAAAGCTCTTGTTAAGACTACATTTAAGATGGAATGGTATGGGATATTCTACCACGATGAGGGAGAACTGGGTACAGAACAAGGCATTTCTTGGATAAGGGATAAAGAATCTGTTGGGACAGAAGACTCTATCCTCTTTGGGATTCAGAAGGGAAATATATCCCACTTTTAGGAGAGCATATCTCACATGATTAAGAGGAAATTCAATGCCATATTGCAACTATGTAATCAACACAGGTGATTTATTTGGAGCTTCTGTAACCCTGGAGAGGTTTCTGATTAGTGTTACATGTTTTCTGGTGGAATAAGAGAGGCAATAAATAAACAACAAATGTTTAATAAGCATCATAGTAAACTCTTTGTTCCCCAAATCTATTAAAAAGGAGAGTAAGAGTTAATCTTTATTGTTCATTCTTTGATTGAAAAAAATTTGCTCCCTTGGAAAAAATTGGACAATTTGCCATGTGTAAAAAATTTTCTTCTGCTAATATGCGTCAGTGTAAATTTAGGTCATTCTGAATTTTAAATCTGGCAATTTCTCAAGTTAGAAGAATTGGACACTACTGTTAGCCATGGATAACAACATTAGGAAATGGGATTACACAAAACTATCCCTGGAATACGGATGATGAAAATGTAACTTGTTGACCCTTTATAGAAGACAATGATCTTTCTTCTTGTTCTTGTCATGCTGGATTGTTTCAATTAGCCAAAATTCCAGTTGATTTAAATGTTAGTACATTTGTACAACACATATAAAAACTTGTTCAGATATGTTGGGCTAAAATTCCCAGGCAGTAGGGCTATTGTGCTTTTTGGAGCCCAACACATTTTTGGAGCCCAAGGTGAAACAATTTTGTGATTACTTTTATGTTCCATTTAGGAACAGTTCACATAATTGTGTTTAAAGCCAGCAGCACAGGTTGACCAATAGAAATTATATGCTACTCGAAAGACTGAAGATAGAAGCATACATTCAGTTCTGAATTAATACAGAAGAACCCTTAGTTGTGGGTAAGGTTAGATATGTAGCCATTAAGATGTTGCTAAATCTTAACTTTGAAGTAGACTAGGGGCAATGGTGAAGGGGAAAGGGAGTTGTATCTCCACAAACACGCGCGTGGCTCCCATCCTCAAGATGTTCAGTGTTTAAGAACTTCGCTTTGCTCCCAGGCCTGGAAGTAGGATGATTTGCTTAGCCTCTACTTGTTTAGTATGTATGTATGTCTGTATACAGGTAATCCTTGATTTACAACCATTTGTTTAGCAACTATTTGCAATTACAATGGTATTGAAAAAAGTGACTTATGACCAGTTCTTGCACTTACAACCTTTACAGTAGTTGTGGTCACTGATCAAAATTTGGGATGACTGCAGCATCCTGGGTTCATGTGTCCACCATTTGAGATCTTCTTTTCCAACCAGCAAAGTCAATTTGGGGAGCCAGATTCACTTAACAACTGTGGCAGAAAAGATAGCACAACTCACTTTAACAACTGCTTTGTTTAGCATAGGAAATTCTGGTCCCAGTTGTGCTTGTAAGTCGAGGACTATTGGTATGTGTTGAGTTTGTGGTTTTTATAATATTTTATTATTCATGATTACATAAGCCATCCGGAATCATTTGGAGTCAGATAGCCTTTAATAATAATTAAATACACAATAGGCCATATATTGTCCCCTCCAAGAAATAGGGTTAAATATGATGTAGATCTTATTGACCAGTTCAGTAGGACTTGGCTACCTATTCAGACAATATTTTCCTATACCCTCTCTATAAAAGGCATTTTCAACAGATTCGTGGGATCTGTTTTTTTTCTCAGTCTTTTGCAAAGAACTCCAACTGCCCACTCTTGGTATGATTCATTACACCCACATTCTCACTGTTGTACCTTGCTTGTGTGCAAGGCTTTCTGCTGCCTGTACTAGATTTTATTTGTCTTAATTTGATTCTGACCAGTACAACTGGTTTTCCCTGAAAGCTTAAAGCGTTTTCAGAAGCTATACTTCCTGGGCAATTATTTCAGTGGGCTGATGAAAAATTGCAAGAGTTCTATAGTCTTGATGACTATAGAATCACAAATCTGAGATTACAACAATTATTTAGGTAGAAAAAGACTGTGGGATAGAAGATCATCCATAAAACAACGGCAACTTACTGGTTATTTCTTAACATTCATTCTGTACAGCCGCAGCTGAAAATTAAAATGGAAATCCATTCAAAACACTATCACGATTTCCTTTTACTAATAGCAGTTCTTGGCTGATCTCCCAGACCAGTGTGTGTGTGTGTGTGTGTGTGTGTGTGTGTGTGTGAGAGAGAGAGAGGGGGGGGGGATTGTAGGGATTCTTAATCTAGCTTGCTTTAAAAAAAAAAGCTACAAAATGAAAACTTAGCCTAGCAGAAGAAAAAAAAGTAACAGAATATCTCTGTTATTTTTTTCCATTTGGCAATTCTTGTTTTTGCTCCATGTATTGCCGTATAGTTTTCTCTATTGCACAGCTGTGAAAATGTTTATTCCAACCAATAAAGAATGAAGAGATGAATCATTCAAAATTGTATTAAGATTCAAGAATTTGTCAGTGTGTTGAAATTTAAAAGTTTGGCAAATTTTAGTTTTGATTGCTTTAGCTTACAGCAGTGTTTCTCAACCATGACAATTTTAAGCATGTGGACTTCAACTCCCAGAATTTAAGGCATGTGGACTTCAACTGGAAGTTGAAGTCCACATGCCTTAAAATTGTCAAGGTTGAGAAACACTGGCTTACAGTCTCCTGGTACCGTAAGATGATATTAGTAATATTGAAAGAGCACAAACAGTCCATTTGAAGCGTCAGATCTTCCTTCTGTATTGTAGGTCTTCACAGATCCTTCACAGGATAGTTTACAGTAGCTCCTAAACAGCCTCAATCAGCAGATGAGAGGGGAAATTTGGAGGCAGATGACTGAAAAGAGAAGCAGCTACTCATCTGTTGCACTGGTCTCTAGTCAACATTAAATCAAAATCATTCATTATCACCATAAATTAGTATATATATTTAACATCTGCCAGAGAACAGCATCAGCAAAGTGTTTATAGTACCCAACCTCAGGTACACTTGTGGTCAATAGGTAAAATCTTGATAAAGTATTCTTTAAAAAAAATAATTATACTAGTGGTCCAGATGCAATTAATGGTAAAGAGTACACCTTGGTATTTCCTTGCTGTGATGCACACATTAAAGCCTTCTATTACAGATGGTTTCTTTAGAGCAGCAGGTATTTTGCTGTTCCAAATTGCCCTAAAGAAGAGCTATGATTAAAAACTAACAATCCTGTCTGTACATAATACAATCATCTTCTACATCATTAAAGGGAAGAAACTGGTTGTTTTTCTTATTATCAAAAGTCAGTTGCATAACTAATCCTGGGAGTGTCAGTTGCCCTCAAGAACTTATTATGTGATAATTTATGTGTAACAAAGGCAAACAACAAATTACATCATTGCCAATTATCTTTTTTCATGGTGCCCATAGCAATTGTGTAAAATTTATCTTCTCTTTAGCACTCAGATCTGATTGAATATTAGATCATGTTTAGATCTGGCAGAAAAGAAGATATAGAAATAACGATGCAGGTTTACATTTAGCAATTAATGAAAACACAAATAAGCAGAAAGGTGTAAAAACATTTCAAAATAATAGTTTTAAGCCTGAAACATTTGTAATTGATTTGAAATAGAGTCTTCTGACTATTTAGAGGTATTCCAAGTTGACAGTATCTGGATTTCAAGTTCAAAATAGTTCCTGAATGGTTGAAAAAACCTATTGTGGCTCAGAAAACTATTTTGATCATAATGGGTTGTTTCAAATTCAATATGGTCTTATACACTGGTATATGGAATTCTGTATTCCAGGTCAGAACCACCTGGAAAACAGTACAAGTCTGTTTTTCCTGTCTCTGACAATAAGGTTTCCCTATTCCCAGCTCTAGGAATCTTTACAAGGGGGCAAAAAGGATCACTTGTTTTCATTTTGATGCAGGTGAGAAACTTTAGCATGACTTTTAAATAGGAACTGTTCTCCTTGTCCTGGGGATTGTGTTGATATAATTGATACTAGATTATTAACTTGTTCATTGGATATGAATGATACTTACAATTCATGCATTAATAATACTGTGAGGTGTTTGTAATAATTGTTATCTGAGTTTCGTTGTGAATCAACATGTGATTTGTTGAAACATTAACATACAAATAAATGGATTACATTTATAAGGGGAAGGAAGGTGGTCTGAATCATAAAAATATAACAGGGTGGATTCAAAGGTTCCAGGCTTTGACTGGTGCACGGGAAAGTCCTCAACCATGAAAACAACCATGAAACAGCCCACTCCCCCCCTTGGCGGGGCTGTTTTCCAATTTTGGCCATATTTGGCATAAAGTTCAACTCTCAACAATACCCAGCTATTAGCTTTTGCAGACAATCCTGAGAGGATTACCATAATTTGGCATCTTCCAATGCCCCCACGATTTTATAGAATTATTGAAGGAAAACAAGGAAAAAATCTCTTCTTTGAATGTTTTACTTTACTAATTGTTCTCCATGCCCCCATAAAGGTATGTTTTTCGATGAGAAGTGCTGGTTTTCTCATGGCTGTCCTAGATAGATATTGTATACACCTCAAATAAGTAGTTTCTGGACTTGACTCCTGACTCATGGTGACTACATGGATACTTCCTTGGAGTTTTCTTAGCAACAGTATGAAAGTAGATGTCATTGTCTTCAAAGCAGGTTGACTTTTCCTCCTCCTCCTCCTCCTCCTCCTTTTTTCAGGGTACCCTGTTATAATAGCAACAGCAATAGTACTTAAGACTTATATATCGCTTCGTAGTCCTCTCTAAGCAGTTTACAGTCAGTATAATGCCCCCAACAATCTGGGTCCTCATTTTACCCACCTTGGAAGGATGGAAAACTGAGCCAACCTTCAGCCAGGCAGGATCGAACTCCTGGCAGTCGGTAGAAGTAGCCTACAATGCTGCATTTTAACCACTGCGCCATCACAGCTCTTAATCCTAATGTATGACCCATTTACTGTGCATAATGTTTTGACTCTATCCATATGGTTATTCAATTTATGTCTGGGTACAGTACCAATATTATTAATTTAATCTTTGTTTGCAAAAACCTTACAGTACAAACTTTGCCTAGGACGCTATAAATGGTTTTAGCAAACAAATCACTGGGATAATTTTGAAGGTTTCCAAATAAAGACAAGTCTATTGATTAATCTGAAACGACTTGTGCACAAAGTACACCCTCTGTCCAATAGTTTTAGCTGGCTATGGAGGTGTAACTGGCAGATGGGAGTGTTGCCTGCCCTGATTGTATGTTTGTAAAACTGTGGCAGGATGAGGTATCCCCTCATTCCTCTAGACCAGGGGTCTTCAAACTTGGCCGTTTTATGACTTGTGGACTTTAACTCCCAGAATTCCTCAGCCAGACGCTGGCTGAGGAATTCTGGGAGTTGAAGTCCACAAGTCATAAAAGGGCCAAGTTTAAAGACCCCTGCTCTAGACCTGCTTGCTCAACATTCCAGTTCATGTTCCTCTGGTGGTTTCACTGGATTTCCTTAGTAGCTGAGAGTATATAGAGCTCCTCAAATGCTGCAAATTTCTAAGTCTTTCATAACCAAAAGAACTAACAGGATTTCAAATGATAGGCAGGTCATTTTCGGTCAGGTTTTACATACATTTTTATAGATACACAAAACAGGCTATGGTCCAGAATATTGGAGTGTTTTCTGCAGTAACTCTAAGACATTAAACAGAATGAATCTTTGTAAATTAGACATGGAAGTACATTATTATTCAAATCATGTACAAAGGATTCACAGTGGAGAAAGTAACTTCATTTACATATCAGTGCCAGCAACATCAATTTTCAAGCCTGGGGAAATATTATTTTTCACTGCATGGCTACAAATCTTCAGAGAATTTGTTTTAATCTAAGTGATAATAGGTATCCTGTGCTGGAGGCCTATGAAACCACATCCTATTTTTATTTATGTAAGTGTCAAATATTATTCAGGAAAAAGTCCTCAGACAGTGGTGAAATAGTTAGGCAGCAGCTATAAGGCAAATAGGTTTTTCTGGTGAGTGAACTCTATAGCTGACAGAAGACTTCTGTGTCTCTGGAATCAGCTTATTCATTGACAAGCCTCAGTCATTCAACTGCCTTCAGGACAGAAGAATGCATTTCTATCTCTAATAATATTAAATATACTGGGCTAATAAACACCTAGTGTCCTAATGATACCCCACCCAGATTCCCACTTACATCATTTGATTTCCACAATTTTTTATTATTTTAAAAAGGTCAGTCTTTTTGCAATATAAACAACCATCTAGGTTCATTCAACCATTTAGGCAAAACATGTTTTGATCGCACACATCTGTAAAAATATAACAGCTGTTTCAAAGGTTGCAACCAACCATTAAGGTTGTATTGTGACTGCCACCTACAATGGCATAAAGTCAATTTTGATCTCATGGAGTTTTTTTGCTTTAAGCTAGTATGCAGACCCCCTTTATGGATTACTGCCTTGTCGTGTAACTCAATGAAGCTATAAGCTATGCCGTGCAGGGCCACCCAAGATGGACAGGTTATAGCAGAGAGTTCTGACAAAATGTGATCCACTGGAGAAGGAAATGGCAAACCACTCCAGTATCTTTGCCATGAAAACCCCATGGACAGTACTAAAAGGCAAAAAGATATGACGCTGGAAGATGAGCCCCTCAGGTCGGAAGGTGTCCAATATGCTACTGGGGAAGAGCAGAGGGCTAGTACTAGTAGCGCCAGAAAGAATGAAGCGACTGGGCCAAAGCCGAAAGGACGCTCAGCTGTGGATATATCTGGTGGTGAAAGGAAAGTCCGATGCTGTAAAGATTTTTTCTCCATAGGAACCTGGAATGTAAGATCCATGAATCAAGGCAAGCTAGACGTAGTCAAAAAAGAGATGACAAGACTGAACATCGACATCTTAGGAATCAGCGAACTAAAATGGACAGGAATGGGTGAATTTAACTCAGATGACCATCAGGTATACTACTGTGGGCAAGAATCCCTCAGAAGAAATGGAGTAGCCTTCATAGTCAATAAAAGAATAGGAAAAGCAATACTGGGATACAATCCCCAAAATGACAGAATGATCTCAATTCGAATCCAAGGCAAACCATTCAATATCACAATAGTCCAAATCTATGCCCCAACCACTGGTGCTGAAGAGGATGAAATTGACCAGTTTTATGAAGCCCTACAGCACCTTATAGAATTAACACCAAAAAATGATGTCCTTATCATCATGGGGGATTGGAATGCTAAGGTAGGAAGCCAAAAGATAACCGGAATAACAGGCAAGTTTGGCCTTGGAGTACAAAATGAAGCAGGGCACAGGCTAATAGAATTTTGTCAAGAGAATACGATGGTCATAACAAACACTCTTTTCCAACAACCCAAGAGACGGCTCTACACATGGACATCACCAGACGGTCAACATAGAAATCAGATTGACTATGTGCTCTGCAGCCAAAGATGGAGAAGCTGTATACAGTCAGTAAAAACAAGACCAGGAGCTGACTGTGGCTCAGATCATGAGCTTCTCGTTGCAAAATTTAGGCTTAAATTGAAAAAAGTAGGAAAAGCACTAGGCCACTCAGGTATGAACTAAATCATATTCCTGATGAATATACAGTAGAGGTGACAAATAGATTTAAGGAACTGGATCTGATAGACAGAGTGCCTGAAGAACTATGGATGGAAGTTCGCAACATTGTACAAGAGGTAGCAACTAAAACCATCCCAAAGAAAAAGAAATGCAAGAAAGCAAAATGGCTGTCTGAGGAAGCTTTGCAAATAGCTGAGGAAAGAAGGGAAGCGAAAGGCAAAGGAGAAAGAGAAAGATACACCCAATTGAATGCAGAATTCCAGAGAGTAGCTAGAAGAGATAAGAATGCCTTCTTAAATGAACAGTGCAAAGAAATAGAAGAAAACAACAGAATAGGGAGGACCAGAGATCTCTTCAAGAAAATTGGAGATATGAAGGGAACGTTTCATGCAAAGATGGGCATGATAAAGGACCAAAATGGCAGAGACCTAACAGAGGCAGAAGAGATTAAGAAGAGATGGCAAAACTACACAGAAGAACTATACAAGAATGAGCTTAACATCCCAGATAACCACAATGAGATGGTCACTGACCTCGAACCAGACATCCTAGAATGTGAAGTGAAATGGGCCTTAGAAAATCTGAGCAACAACAAAGCTAGTGGAGGTGACAGTATTCCAGCTGAGCTATTCAAAATCTTAAAAGACGATGCAGTAAAAGTGCTACACTCAATTTGCCAGCAAATTTGGAAAACTCAACAGTGGCCACAGGATTGGAAAAGGTCAGTTTACATTCCAATTCCAAAGAAAGGCAATGCCAAAGAATGTTCAAACTATCGCACCATTGCACTCATTTCACATGCTAGTAAAGTTATGCTTAAAATCCTACAAGCTAGACTCCAGCAGTATGTGGATCGAGAACTACCAGAAGTACAGGCAGGATTTCGAAGAGGCAGAGGAACTAGAGATCAAATTGCCAACATACGCTGGATCATGGAGAAAGCTAGGGAGTTCCAGAAAAACATCTACTTCTGCTTCATTGACTATGCTAAAGCCTTTGATTGTGTGGATCACAACAAATTGTGGCAAGTTCTTAAAGAGATGGGAGTACCAGACCATCTCATTTGTCTCTTGAGAAACTTATATGCGGGTCAAGAAGCAACAGTGAGAACTGGAACACGGAACCACTGATTGGTTCAAAATTGGAAAAGGAGTCCGGCAAGGCTGTATACTGTCGCCCTGCCTATTTAACTTATATGCAGAGCACATCATGAGAAAGGCAGGGCTAGATGAATCAAAAGTTGGAATTAAGATTGCCGGGAGAAATATCAACAACCTAAGATATGCAGATGATACCACTCTAATGGCAGAAAGTGAAGAGGAACTAAAGAGCCTCTTGATGCGGGTGAAGAAGGAGAGTGCAAAAGTTGGCTTGAAACTCAACATTAAGAAAACCAAAATCATGGCATCCGGCCCTCTCAATTCCTGGCAAATAGATGGGGAAGAAATGGAGGTAGTGACAGATTTTATTTTTCTGGGCTCCAAGATCACCTCAGATGGGGACTGCAGCCAAGAAATTAAAAGACGCTTGCTCCTGGGGAGGAAAGCTATGGCAAATCTAGACAGCATACTAAAAAGCAGAGACATCACCCTGCCACCAAAAGTGCGTATAGTCCAGGCCATGGTTTTCCCAGTTGCAATGTATGGCTGTGAAAGTTGGACCATAAGAAAGGCTGAGCGCAAAAGAATTGAGGCCTTTGAACTATGGTGCTGGAGAAGACTCCTGCGAGTCCCTTGGACTGCAAGGCGTTCAAACCAGTCAGTCCTAGAAGAGATCAACCACTGACTGCTCTTTAGAAGGCCAGATCCTGAAGTTGAAACTCAAATACTTTGGCCACCTAATGAGAAGAAAGGACTCACTGGAGAAGGGCCTAATGCTGGGAAAGATTGAGGGCAATAGAAGAAGGGGACGACAGAGAATGAGATGGCTGGATGGAGTCACTGAAGCAGTAGGTGAGAACTTAAATGGACTCCAGAAGACGGTAGAGGACAGGAAGACCTGGAGGAACGTTGTCCATGGGGTCGCGATGGGTCGGACACGACTTCGCAATTAACAACAACAACAAGCATGCAGACTATTTATTTTATACAACATAGAGGCTGCCCAACTTTACACA